TAAGATTTGTGATTTAGCAACAGTAACTGATCCTTTTCACCCAAGTATAGGTAGGGATTACGACGGATTGGTGACGCTTAACTGCAAAGATTACAATAAAGATTATAACCCAAAGTTTGAACTCTTTAGTCTCCGTTTTTCCTTTTAAGCACAACAAAGGTAAAATCAACAAAAGCGATGAAAGATGAATACATCGTACATTTTTCTCTTCCTTGGTTAAATCTTTTGACCGGTGAGTGTCATGAACTCTGCGTCAATCCATTACAATGGAAGATTAAGGCTATTATCACGAAATTTACTGAGCAATTTTAAAATAATTACAATTAGTAAAAAATTAGAAAAGATTAAGCGGTCCCCTTCTCGCAGGCAACCACGTTCACGAGTGATCACGTCTCCTTTTGATCCTTATTAGAAACAATGTGAACAAACTTAATGGCTAATGCTGAAAGTGTTTGGCTTTATTTTGGTGCATACAAAAAAAAGGTGCGCATAATTTTAGCACTATTATTTAATTTAAGAACTATTCGGGATATCATCCGCCAACAATTATTGATCCTGATAAATTGAACTAAAGAAGAAGATAGCTTAGAAGATCATCAGTAATATATTTTTTACGAAGAGCCAGATAACTTTATAATAGCCTACTTCTATTAAAAGAGACAGAACTCAAGAAGATATTCTCTATAAATTATGTTTGACATCGGATTCGAAGATATTTTACAGCCAAAAAAATTGTATTGCTAGTATGTGATTGTGGAGTATGTGTTCCTAGTTCCTACTCTATCATCCTAGCTTAGCTTATGTATAATTCTGCTAAAAGAAATTTTTGTAAAAGACCAATCAATTTTTTTTATACTCAAAAAAGGTACGATGATAATGAAGCACTTATTAAGTTTTTAAACAAGTTGAGTTCGGCCTACTCAAATAATTGGATATTTTTATTCCATTTTCTAAGTATCTTAATTTCAATCATCAATAATTTTTTGACGGGCCAACTTGCCCTAGGGCTTGTATCCTTACCAGTCAATCATCAACAAAATTAGATTAATTCAAAGTCCGCTAATTAATTCCATTTTCTTAGAGAAAGGTAGTGTTGACATCAAGCGTTTGAAGTTTAAACACAACTTAAAACACGTGAGAACATCAAAAACGTAATAACTTATACACTCCATCTTTACTCAAATAATTATTCTGTTTCAAATTTTTATTTGTAGTACGATTTTCAATAAAAAATAAAATTTTTAATTAAATAAATATTACGTGACTGAGCGAGTAATCTTTGAAAATGGATATTACCATCTAAGTCACGAAATCGTTTACATGTTTTCATCAAGTTTGCATCAGAATCTTTTAGTTATTACCCTTGACAAACTTTATCACTACGCGCCCCCACACACACATAATATGTACACATAAATGATTGCCTAAACAAACCTGATGACAAATAACTACTCTTAGCTGCGGTACATAATTTATTGGATCCAAAAATATCAGACAAGAAAAGTAGGCAAAAAAGATACGTGTTGGTTGACAAGATAAAAAGATTGGAAAATCTATCGAGCGCATTAAAATAGTGGACTAACACAGTTTTGAGTGCAATAAGTGATATATTATACTTCTTCCACCTTAGAAAAATATTATATAATGAATTATAAAATTTATATCAAAACTAGTAAAAATTTGAAAGTTTAATGTGAACTTTTTTTGAGATAGGTAACATACGTATTCATTTAAGGAATCTATATTTTGGGTGAAGAGCAAAACATGTAATAAAACGGACCATACCAGGTTTTTGTGTGTGTATGTGTGGATAGATTGTCAAAATTACTTTCCGTCAAATACAGTAGACCATTTAATTAAGGAATCTTATCTTTATAAAACTTCATGATAAATTCGCAATTTCAATGTATAAATTATATGCAATGTCTTAATTACTTGCCTATTGGATTATGGGAACTTATCAACGGCTCTGAAATCATTATTGAATTTGAAATTTTATTTTTAATAAAATATTACAATAAAAGATCTCAAGTAAAAAAATTACTTTGAGACAGAATAGTAGATGATATAAAAGACAACAAGAATTATACAACTCTTTAATATATAATCATGGATTCGGGTAACCATGTAATCTACAGATAACACGAGCCTTATAATTTAGAGAGATTATAAGTAGGGCAGGTTGCCAAACCCAGGGGTGGCTCTCTCACTAGGCAGAATAGGCCATCGCCTAGGGCCCCGGAATCGGGAGGGTCCTCATATATATATATATATATATATTAACTAAACTTAGTGTTAATAAATATTGAAAAAAAAAACGTAAAATTCATAAAAATAAACGATTTGTTGAAAAATATGAAGAATTAATGAAACTCTTACACGCCTCGAGATTTTTAAAACTAATTATTTTCTTTATGTCGTTAATAGAACTATATATCTCATCACTATAAAGTAGATTTAAAAATTTTAAAATAGACATTAGTATTTTAGTTTTCTATTTATTTTGAAAAAATTATAAGTACTTGATGACAAAAAATTAGAAAAAAAAAATTTCTTAACCTTCTAAACTCCATAAAACACAATAATATTTTAGATATTGACGGTTTAGATATATTTATGAACTAAAAATTTTAACGGATAATGTATATATTTGAAAATAATAATTCAACTGATATACTTAGTTATATTAAAAGACTTGATTCTTTTTTAATTTCTTATAGGATGATGTTAATTATTATTCATGTAACAGTTGGTTCAATAGAAAGAAATTTTTCAAAACTTAAATTAATAAAATATTACTTAAAATCGACAATGTCACAAGACAGATTAAAATGGATTTGCTATAATATTAATAAGAAAAAGGATTAGTAGAAGAGATAGATCATAGAAATTTTATAAAAGAATTTGCAACCAAAAAAGGTAAAAAAAAAACTTAACATAAACAATATTTTCCAAAAAAAAAAATGCTAAAAAGATAAATTTAATATAAATAATATTTGAGAAAAATTTTGAACTTTGCTTACTATGGACTCACAGGTTTATAGTTGTCACCGAAGAATAAAGAGGGTTAAACTTTTTTTCCCTTTTTTTTATAGTTTCTTTATTATCAAAAGGCCTTGAATTCAGAATTTGCCTTGGACCCTAAAAAACGTTGAGCCGCCACTGGCCAAACCAGTAAAAGTTGTTGATTGCACCCGAAGAAAAAAGAGTCTTATTTTTTTTGTATAAAAATGGAGGCATAGTGCCTGAAAAAAAAAAGAAAAAGACGAAGAAAGTCTTATTGATTCACAAAATTTAAGGGTAATTCCTAAAATATATAGATGGAAGTTGTGAGTTCTGGCCACTGAGAATTCAGTGAAAAGTCATGTTGTCGATACAGGCACGATATGGAAAAAGGGGAAAAAAAACTTATGTTTGATATTATTTATGTCTAAATCAATAGTGGATTTAAAATCGAAATACAGTAGGGGCCAATTAGATGAAAAAAATATATTAATGCATATTTCAATTGTACTTCCAACTGCTTACGTGCGTGTCTGTGAATATATATATATACATATATATATATATATACCTTTATATATATTAAAGGAGAATTTTCAATCAGACACATGGTACAAAATTAAATAGGTTAATCTACGTGGCGGAATATTATAGACCCAAGTCCACATGTCGCAACTACGTCACTTCATCATTTAATGCTAATTTTTTAATGTAAAATTGTAAATTTATAAATAAAAAACTAAATTAATTGAAAATTAAATAAAGAAAAAAGATGTAAACTTTTTTCCTTTTGCTATCAATTGCCAATACGGCATTGGTATTTCTCTGCCTGAAAAACCAATTGACACTTTAATATAGGAAAATAATTCGGCTAATTGTATTACCTCACATCAAGTTCGATCATCCTAATTGAGTTAATACTATACAAACTAATGTAATTTTAGTTTGAAAACAGGAGATCATATTATAGCTAAATATAATTATAGTTTATTCAGAATAATGCATGTCGCAATTACATTACTCCATTTTTTTAATGGTAACTTTTTAATATAAAATTATAAATTTATAAATAAAACTAAATTACTTAACTAAGAAATTACCCCTTAACAATAAATTTTAATGGTGAAAAAAGAGAAGTGGCCAAAAAAATTTCAAACTATTAAATCCAGAGATAACCACGTGAAATGAAAAGTTTTTTTAATTAAGTTTTTTTTTAATTAAATGAAAAATTTCAAACTAAAAAATTCAGACTTTGTCTCCCTCTTTTTTAATTAAGTTTTTTTTCCTGGGTTTTATTTCTTAATTATAGTACTAACAACGAGCTATTTCCTTATTGTAAATTCCTACACCATTGTTGACCAAAACACTCAACGTCGCTCCTTTTTCAAAGCTTCTTTTTCAAAGCATGACCATTTCTTCCATCAATATGACTAGCTACACACAACAAATTAATTATATAATCTTTTTAAGACATTGAGAAACCTCAATCCATGTTGTATTAATGATCGGAATTAAGTAAAAACACAAACAAACATTATGAGGTCTTCTTTTTCTTCTTTAATTGATCCATTAAAAACACATTTGGAGCATTTCATTTCTCTATATAACTTCGGTAACTATTACGTTAATAACGAATGAAAAATGGAAAAAAAAAAAAATTTACGTTTTCACAAATTATGAAATTCAAACTCGTAACTTCTCATTTGATTCAAGAATCCCTAAGCATGCCTTCGGTGAATGGGTGCGTTCCCAATTAATTATTGAAGCATGGTACGTCCTACAGTACAATCTTTAGAACTCCTTCCGTCCCAAAATTATTGTGCAGTTTGAGTTTTCACTTTTAGTACAATTTGAACTAAAAATGAAAATTCAAACTGGACAATAATTATGGGGCGGAGGAGTATTTTTTTATTATTATTGTAAAATATCTTGAGGGAGAGTACTTTGTCGATTTGACCAGGCTCATCAAATATCAAACTCTCCTTCTATATAAAGAAGGTGCTGCCATGCATCTTTCATCAGTCTCTCACTCCCAACATACAAGAAAAACCATCATACAAATTAAGTTTCATACCTATTCCATTTAAAAATAAAATGGCGAAAAAGGTAGCCTTTCTTCTTGCAATTGTTTCCATATCCATGATTGCCACTTTGGCTCATGGATTTCCTGATGATGGAAGCTCTAAAGCCGTGGAAGAATGGCCCAACCGATTCCCTACTGCAGAACCTATAAACATAAAGTTTCGCTTGTACCTTAACAACATCCTCACTACGGTCCCTCCCGCGAGTGTCGCGGTGGCTAAGGCCAGCACCACAGACTCCACTCCTACAAGCTTTGGTTTAGTGAGAGTCATAGACGGCCCCATGGCCGAGCAACCGATGACTGAGAACCCGAACGCCACAGTTGTCGCTCGGGTTCAAGGGCTCGGTGTATTTTCCTCCCAAACAGAAGTCGGCATCCTTGAGGCTCTTAGCTTTGTTTTCGTGGACGGCGAATTCAAGGGCAGCACTCTCACCGCCTTGGGGCGTCTAGCGCCGGCGGAAGGGTGGAGCGACATTTCGGTCGTTGGCGGGGCGGGTGTTTTCCGGAGGGCGCAAGGAACTATTGCTTCCAGGATTTACTATATTGATCCCACCGTCGGTGATGTTCAAGAGATGATTTTCGACTTCGACTATTACCCGAAGACCACCACCTCCCAAGAATGAATATGATGATCGCGTGACAGTAACAACCTCGCAACACTTTCCTTCTGAATGTTTCTTTTTAATTCAAGTCCAATTCTTAAGATTTCTTGTTATCCTTTCCCATGTTGTAATACTCAATAAAAGCGATGTACCTTTCAAGAGGCGTACGACTCTGATTTCGACACAGTTATATAATCAATGTATTGATCATTTTCTCCATTCTTCTTCTTATTTTTTCTTTTATCGTTTATCAAGCTGCTTTAATATGAAGCTAACGAATCAAAGTAATGATAAAATAGTGAAAAAGGCCTTTGTCTTGTGGCATAAATAAAAAATAATACTAGTAAGACTCTAGGGGAACTTTTAAGGAATCAGGATTCGGTCTAAGATGGATGTGTTATTTGTTACAAGTGAAATTTCGTCCCCAAAAAATGTAAACATATATGTATAATTAAGCTTCTTTCACGCAACAAAAGACAATTAAATGATCCATAGTCCACACCCTACAATACAAGGTTTGAATATAACCTTGATATATGTCACAATTATTCGTCAATGTCATTTTGCCCTCGTATCAATCAATCATCGATCACAATTACTAGTAATGTTAATCATTTGGAATTACTATACGATCTCGAGTATGTGACTTCTTTCCATTTATTTGAAAGTTGAAACACTCAGTTTCTGGAAGACTTTAATCCATCGGTCTTTATCAATTTTCGGCCGAGACATTTTCAACGAAAATATGAACCACATTTTAATAACGCCTACAGAAATAAATTAAAATTAAATGAAAAGAAATTGGTCAAATTCAATTTGGATATTTTCTTTGATCAATCATCTTAATTTTTTTTTTTGTTTTTTGTTTTTTTTTTAAACCAGGAGAGTACCTGGGAATTTCTAGATACCAGAAATATTTTCAGGGCAGTGCTTTAGACTTACCCTATAGAAGAGACCGTCCTAAAGACGGAGATTTAAATATCAGTATAAATATACTGATACTTTCAAAAGAGACCTAATTGGACCTATACTAAATTACGTCTAATGTCGGTTCTGGACTCATCAGAATTATTTACCTAGTAACTCAAGAAGGATAAACTCATGTCATCGTGATTCGCTTATTTCGGATCAAAAATCTGAACTGCCGCATTTAGTGAGCATATGAAGAATCCAAATCTGTGAGTCATATACAGAAAAATTTAATTCCAAAAGGAGTCAATAAAATATAATAATCCGTGAACCTGAATCTAACATATGAAATGACCGTATAAACCAATTTGGTGTGTTTGTAATCCATACCGGCGAGCTGATATGAACCGGCTGACCATGATTTCAGGAGCGACGGACCGGTTTAACTGATCTACCGGTTTAAAACCGATTCTGGTGAATCGGCTGAGAATTGAACCGAAACCTTTGGCCATAACCTATTCTGGTGAACCGGCGGCGGAAAGAAACCAGATATGGCTAGAAGGACCAGATCTGGTGTCCCAGCCTTTGGCAGCGGTGGCTTTCTCGGCGGCGGGCGCCACCTTCTCTTCTGTTGGCATCTTCTCAATGGTCGATGCCGCAGCAACTGGTCGCCAGCAGCAGCTCAGGAGGCGTCAGGGTGGTGTATTACATCAGAGGCGTGAACGGGCAGCAGCGACCACCACCAGGTACCTTCAGATCTGGAGGCTGGATCTGCACCTATCAACATAGGTGGTGTGGTGAGGCAGCGGCATGGATCTTGTGTCCCCGGGTGGTTTGGTGCATCGGAACGGGCAGCAGCGGCCGCCGCCGGGCACCTTCAGATCTGGAGGCCAGATCTGCACCTATCAACATAGGTGATGTGGTAGGGCGGCGACATGGATATAACCGGCAATTGCATACATAGTCAGGATCTCGGGTCGCGCTTTCTTCAGCAACTTGGATGGAATGGAGAGAATGTGCGGACTGTGAGTCAGGGGAGCGGCGGGAGCTAACCGGTGGTGGGGTGCGGTGGCATGGATCTGACCGTGTTCAGATCTGAGGTTGTACTGGCCTACTGGCCTTCTTCTTCTTCAAAAGGAAAATACAAAAAAAAAAAAAGAGAATATAAAGGTTTTTTGGGCCCCCCGTGGTAGGGGGAGGAGGAGGTTTTTTCCGGCGAGTTACCTAGAGAGAAGGGGGAGAGCTTATTCATAGGAATCTTCTACTTTTCCAATCATCTTAAGTCAAACGTTAATGTTCTATTCTTATTTTTATTTTTCTTAAAAACAATAGTAACAAACAGTTAATTCTAACTAGACACGTAAGATTTCCCTTTTATAAAATGCGAAAGATTCACAATCATTTGTTTATCACTACAAGAAACGAGGACCATTTGTCACATGCAATTTGTATTGCGAAAAGGGTTAAAAATGCCGTGAAAAGAACTTTTGAGTCTATCAGATTCAGTAAGTTATTAATGTGAGTTAGCCGCTTATCCACTTTATCATATCTGAGATGAAAAATTAAGTTTATTAATGCGAAAGTTCATGATTTTTCTTTTTTTTTTTTCAGTTTTTTCCCTCTTTCTCGAATAGTCTAATTACTATTATAACATGTCAAGCAAACTATTTTTCTCCTAAATATATTTATGTTGACCTATTTAAATTTTATTAATTTACCACTTTTTTCGTCCTTTTTTAGTTTCGTTATTGTTTGAGATGTATTATTTCCATAGTTGTCTTTTTCGTATTTTAAGAATTTCCCCACACCGTGCAAGTCTTGTTTTTCTATAAGCTCATATAAAAATCACACCAAATAGTTTATTGCAATTAGATTGGTCGGGCGGTTGTTACATGATATCATCATAGCATCACAGTTACATTATACTTTTAAATGCGACCAAAACTTTCTTTCAATAAATAGGAACAAGTTGACCGATTTGATTGATTGTTGGTAGTAGTCTTCGCTTTTGGACGGTGAGATACAAATCAAAGATATTAGGAACATATTGTTCTAATATTGTTCTAATCTTTGGACACTAAAGAGTAGATGAGCTATGCTTTGATCAGATATGGTTGTTTAGTTTTGTTTGGACCAAAGTATCTACAAGGCATCTTTGATAAGGAATTTCATTGTGCCGTAGTTTTTCTACAGAAACACCAGTTCCATAATGAAATTTTGTGTCAACTACCTTCCTTTTTGTTACTATCTTTCCTGGATACCTGCATTCTTTCTTTTCTTAATAAAATCATGAGCTTCATCGATTTTTTATGCAAATCAGAGCAAGTATGTGTCCATTAATCCTATAACTATGGCGGAAAAGATTGATACATAAACGAACTATAGCAAATCTATATATATTATGTTCATCTTTCATGTGTTTTCTATTTTCAGTATTATGATTCTGTTTTGGAAGAACTATAATTTTTTATGCACAAATGAACAATGGTTGTTTTCTGTTTTGGGTTTTCTGGATTGAGCTTCTATTTGGTTTTGGGTGTTTTGGTTTTTGTTGTGGTGAAAAGGGTATAAACACAACAATCCAGCGGAAACGAACCTCAGGATAACTTCTTTCCTACTAGCAATAAAATAGGACAACCAACCAAACCAACTAAACAAGTAAACAATCAAAGAATTGATAAATTAAAGTAGACACAGGGATTTACGTGAAAAATTCAAATTCGGAAAAACCACGGAACTGTAATAACAGTCAAATCTCCACTATCACAATAATGGGAGAACAGTCTTCACCAACCAGTGGATACACAAGATTTTACCCAAAGGTGGATTACAACAAAACTCTTCCAAAATACACATATCACAAAGTAGGATTAGAAGGAACTCACAAAAAGAGAGCTAAACTGAAAACTAAATCGGAGGAATTGTAGATCTTGTTGAGAGGAATATACGTGCAAACTTGCACCAATAACTGACTCTGTTTTGTCATCCAATCAAAGCCTTAAGTTGAAATACTTTCTTCTCACAACGTCAAAACCCCCAAAACTAGTTTTCTCTCTTTTTCTCTCGTGCACAAAGCTTTGCGTGGCTGCTGCAATTTTTCTTCTCTCTCGGCTTGAAAACACACGAACAAAATTGTTCACGGCAGCCCTCCTTTTATAGAAAAAAATAAAAACAAAACCGAAAAACAAGTGGGATTTTGTTTCCTTTGGTCAAAACCCAAAAACAAATCCCAATTGGATTTTGTCTTCAACTTCTGTTGGGCCCAATTTGAGGGAAACCAGCCCAACAATCTCCCCCTTCATCTCAATTGGGGGAGTAAAACTAAACCCGCTTCCGATCTGCAAAACAAGAGCTTGTCTCTTCTCACAGTCTTCATCAACTTATCGGCACCGTTGTCATCTATATGGATATTCTCAAGAAATAACGCCTTGGACTCCAACGCATCTCGAATCCAATGATATCTCACATCAATATGTTTTGACTGCGAATGAAATGTGGAATTCTTAGCTAAGTTAATAGCGCTTTGGCTATCACAATACACCACATACCTCTCTTACTTCATGCCAAGCTCTTGTAGAAACTTCTGTAACCAAAGTGCTTCCTTATAAGATTCAGTAGCTGCGATAAACTCTGCTCTATAGTAGACAAAGCAACACATTCTGCAACCTACTCTGCCATGAAACTACTCCCCCTGCATAAGTCATCAAGTAACCAGAAGTAGACTTCCGACCATCCAGGTCTCCTGCTATGTCAGCATCTGTATATCCATCCAACATGGTCTTTCCATTGCCAAAGCAAAGACTGAATCTGGAAGTACCCTTAAGATACGTGAGAATCCACTTCACAGCATTCTAATGCTCCTTACCAGGATTGAAGAGAAACCGACTAACAACACCAACTGCATGAGCTATGTCTGGCCTTGTGCAAACCATCGCATACATCAGGATGCCAATTGTTGAAGCATAAGGAACCTTTTTCATCTCTTCCTTATCTTTCTCACTTTTAGAATACTGCGATTTGCTTAGCTTAAAATGCCCCGCAAGTGGAGTTGAGACTTCCTAGCACCGCTCATGTTAAACCTATCAAGAACCTTCTCGATATATTTCTCTTGAGATACTCAAAGTTTCACATTCTGTCTATCACGAGAATTCTTCATCCCAAGGATTTGTCTAGCCGGACCTAAATCCTTCATCACAAAAGACTTATTCAACTTCTTTTTTCAACCTGGCAATCTTTGCAGTATCAAGACGAACAATCAACATGTCATCGACTTAAAGAAAAAGAATAATAAAATAACCATCAGAGAATTT